AATTCCTACCTCAGCCTGGTCCCTCAGTTTGTGTTAGTAAAATCTTCTTGAGCGGAGGTCTTCAACAGGGGATCCGCGACCCCTAGGGGGTCTACGGAGGTACTGCACGAGGGTCTGCATGGTTAGTTGATATTTTTATATTCCCCCCCTGCAATTTTTTCCCCCACTAATTGAAATGTCTTTAAATACTCATTAACATGAAATCAACACACTGTAGTAAACAGATAAATGGAGACAAAAGATGTCTTTCAGTCATCAATGCACACATTCAGCGACACACAGGAGCTCTTTCAAGCTTGGCACCGTTTCCTTCACAACAACCAGGAATCAGAATCAGAAAAACTTTAATAATCCCAGGGAGAAATTAATTGCTTTACATTACTCCATCTGTAATAGAGTGACTATAGGACACAATTTCATACAATATATATAGTTAGGGGGTCTCGCTCCATCTCGCCATCAGTTTGGGGGTCCTTGGTCTGGAAAACATAGAAGACCCCTGTTCTTGAGGGTTTTACTATCCATGTAACTTGTTTGTTAAACCTGCCTGGTATAATTTTCCAGGATTCCAGTATTCCTTTTTAGTATGTATTGAAATGGAATTTCAAATGGAAAAAATTATTAAAATAAAAAAAAAACATTTGCACCTTAAAGACTACTTTCCTATTTTTCTTTTAATAATTCCTCATAAAAAGACCATTCAAGCAGCACATTTTTCCTGATGTTTTTGAGAATATACTGTAGGGGTGAAAGCTGCAGCTGCTACTAGTGTGAAGTGAATGGACAGCAACAAAGCATTAAAGCAACAATGGGGAAATGCTGTCCCCTCAATGCTAATGTAAACCCTGGTTGGATAAGGATTCAAAACTGGATATGAAGATGAAATCTGACGCACAGTTTCAGAGTTATAACTGATAAAATAATTGCTGTCTGTGGTTCTACAGTAGGCTATGGTGTAATTGAGCAATATATGAAAAAAAAAAAAGAACTATGAACTAGTTCATTTTGTGGTTTTGAATTATGAACTATGAACTGAACTAGTTCATTTTAAAATGTGTGAACTGAACTTTGAACTAGTTCACGTAGAAAGAGAACTTTCCCAACACTGGGTGCTGGTGCCTATCTCCAGCTGTCAATGGGCGAGAGGCGGGGTACACCCTGGACAGGTCGCCAGTCCATTGCAGTTTTTGTTTACAACTTAGTTTTAAGATTAACATTTTTTTTAAGGAACTTCTAACTGTTGACGTTTTGTCTCATAAAGTTTAAATGTGACACAGCTTTATGAAACAAATGTCACAGCTCATTAAAATTTTTTCACATAAATGGAAAAAGTTCACATAAATCCTTTTTCTTTATTGTTGATTATTTGTTACATTAGCATGAATCAAATTTATAATTACAGTAGTCATTATTTCTTTGATTCGAAAGATATTTAAGTGATCTTTATATATGATGATTTGTAAAAGGCAGAATTAAGCCTTTTATTTATACAAATATTTACAGAAACAGAGGCATACATTAAATATGCAAAAATTAAAAGTCTTCTTTAAGTTAACAGTATCATTAAAATAAGCGACTTGCTAATCAAAATATGGCCACGCTAACTTACAATAGGCTAAAAATTAAGTTGAACATTAGCTACAATCATCTTATTAACATTTTATCAGATTTATCAAGTGGGTTTGTTCCTTTAGCCGATTTATTACACAGCTAAAACATATAACCGATTGAGCCCAGCCGAGTACACAGATGTTTTAGCGTGCCACCGGGACTGAGCGCAAGTACAGAGAAGGAGCTAAACGTGTGCAGAAAACAGTAATGCTTATGCATATTTTGCAAAAAGGAGTTTGTCAGAGTTGAGCACAGACCAGAAACATATTGAGGGAACAATGGTAGAGATTTTAATGGCTGGGAGTGCTCTCACTGTGCGCTAAGATTGGTAATTGTGTACTGAAGTTAGTGGCACAAAGCATATTGCATATTACAGCTGGCAGCAGTTCTTCTCAGTACTCCATAGCAAATATTTTACTGGTACGTAGTACTGGACTGTAACAACCTCTGCATTTATGGGGACAACTTTTGTCGGAAACAAGTCATCCAAAACTGGGACTGTCCTGAGAAAACAGGGGATTCATGTCACCTTAAAATATTTTGAAACAACCTCATGGAAGGACTACTTAGAGGCCTCATGGTAAAATGGGTTGCAACATGAATTATTTGTTCTAGTAAAAGGCTGAAAACGGAAAAAAATGACTTCAGTGGAATTTATGTCTTACTGTAATTGTACTAAATGTTAAAAAGCAAATGTTAAGCTCTGAATGGCAATGCTTTATAAATAGCACTAATGTCAAAATACTTTTGTCAGTTAAAAAAAAAAAAGGAAATTGTTGCTACATTTTTTTTTTACCATATTTAATGTAAACAAATGTGTTATAACTAATATTTATGTTCTGTTTCCACTTGTATAGATATAATTGTTCAAATAGTTGCGCAAAATATCAGTTTAAAAAGGCTATATGATTACTTTCCTGCAATTATTATTTTCCTGAATGCTTTATCGTGAATTCACACTGAATGCTAAGAAGGTGAATGCAGTCAGTGATTTACTCTTCCAATGTAAAGGCAGGCAAGTTAATGGTTTGCAAGAGAAGGAAGGATTTCAAAGGAATTGTGTGAAATATAATGTAACATAGTTTAAAAACCGAGCATATGCGCTTCTGCATGTCATGATCTTAGAGCTGATGTCTGGCTTAATTATTCATTTCATTCGCCTTTCTAACTCTGCCGGATTTCTAATCACTGCTCATCTGAACCACCTGCTCCTGTCTCTATTTAAGGTGCTTGCATGCAGCTATCAATGCCAGATTATCTTGTTCTTGTTAGCCAGAGGTGTGAGTGATTAGAGTAAAGAGTTCCTTGGTGCTTCCGATTTTTTCATCCTGACCTGTTCTGCTTCTCTACCACTGAGCCTGTCTGCTCCCGTCTGATCTCAGTTGTGGGAGTGTTTTAGCATTTCCTTAGTGTTTCTGATTACCTGATCCTGACCTGCCTCTCAACTGCTGAGCTTGCCTGTTCCTGCTCTGATCTGTTTACCTGACCTGGCTTTGGACTCCTGGACCTCGGAGCCTCCCTGCTCTGATCCGTTTGCCTGACCTGGCTTTGGACTCCTGGACCTTGGAGCGTCCCTGCTCTGATCCATTTGCCTGACCTGGCTTTGGACTCCAGCTTGTTCTCTGGGGCTGCAGCATCTGGGACACTCTGGACGGCACCTGCCACATTTGCTGGCAGCCCACTGGCTGGATCCTACCTCGTTCTCTTGCTATGGACTGAACTTTAAATGAGGTTAGTGACTCACATTCTAATCTTCCTCCATTAGATCTACATGGTCACTAACCTGTGTTTACCTCTCTCCAGAGTTTCCTGTCTCAGACACCCTAGCCACTGCTTCTGCAGATCCGCAGCCCATTTTAATAAACACTTTTTGATCTGTCTTGCTTTAATTCTGGGTCCTACTTTCTGAGCCATGACACCCCAGGCAGCTAAAAAAAAAACAAAAACACAAAAATTAACATAGTTGCAAACTTAAAAAACAAGTGGAATATCCGCATGGAGATTTCTGCTCTCTTTCCCCAAAATCCCTGTTGTTGGGCGGATGGTCCGGGGGGGACTGGGAGTGGTTAGGTGTCTTCCAGCTTCGATTTCCACTTCTCTCAGCTGAAATAATTTTATGTTGTACTTACTGAAATTGAGTGGATGTTTTCCTACCAACCTGTACGAACTACAATTTATGCTTCTATCCCCTCCCCCATTTTGCAGGAAGCCAAATTAGGAATTAGTTCGCTGCAAGACCTTTATAAAATGAGAGCAGCTCAGACTACTTTTCTCAATCTGTCCGAGAACTTTGTTGCTTCTTCTTCCTTCTTTGTATATTCTTGCAAAATGCAGTGATTGTGTTGAAGGCTGCTCTGTGACAAATGACCACCACCAAAATGAGTCTATGCCATGTCAATGAGCCTCCCTCACACACTCAAACACAGAGTGGCCCATATCAATGAGAAGGTGAAAGGTCTCCATTTACATCTTGTATTAATTATGAGTGACAAGCCAAAGGTCACCCAAGGAGAAGAGGCCACACGTATGGATAGAATATAGATCTATACTTCTACCTCTCGTCCATCTCAGTCCCTTATCTATCATGCCTGTCTTAACACTCCTCTTGGTAATGCACTTTTCTTTTTAATCCTTCTAAATCTCCATGCACCCATTGCAGTTAGTATTTAATTGTCTACACTTTTGTAATAAGTTTATAACCTTGTTTTAAAACTGAAGTGAACATTTCCATATCATGTTGGAATTTTAAAAATAATTTTTAAATACTTCCTTTTGTGTTCACCTTTCTGAAAAAACGGATGTCAGTAGAATTAACCAAAAAAAGGGTTTCACATATTAACCCAGTCACATAATATTGAAGTGTTGCCAACTATAGTTGCCAAGAATCTCAATAAAGCATTGGGTAAACTTAGCTGCCAAACCATTTGGAGCAAAGATGTCAGGTGTTAACAGAAATTTAAGCGCTACATTGAGTCTGTCAGAGTATCTATAGTGTGTGCATTCGGTGGCTTCCACCTTACTTGTTAATATATTTTAGAATGTGGATCATAGCACAGAACTGAGGTAAGGACCCTGGAGAATAGCAGGTGATGTTTCTTTGTGTGTGTGTGTGTATGTGTGTGTGTGTGTGTGTAAGTGTCTTCAGACCTCTCACTGGCAAACAGATGGCAAAAGCACCACAGGTAGAGTCTACATTTCTTCACATGCATCGTGGATGACAATAGCACACAATCACGTTATCTAATGTCTTCTTACTGCAGCTGTTTTTGCTTTTTTAAGTTTATAAGTTAAAAAAATATTGATTACTGTATGGATATTTAAGGATCTAAATCAATAACTGGAAACTAATCTAATAGGAACAAATAATGCTGAAGCAGATGTGTGTTTACCTCTACAGTGAGAGCTGTGTAAGTAGTTGAGTTCAGAGTTGGGTCCTGCAGGTGCTTGATGTAAACCAGTCTATAACAGGAAATAAGACCGTTGGGCTGGCCTGGTTGACGCCATCTCAAGTAAACGGAATAAGCACCTGTTAACATACAAAGCATGTGTTACGTGGTGTAATCAGAAAAATGTGTTAACTAAAAATTTCAAGCTTCTGATCACACTTACCAGTGGGTATGATAACAGGGGGTGCCATTTCTTGTGGTTGTGCCTCTAATGTTTGGACTAGAGCCCACAGACTGGTCACTGAGCCTTTGGAGTTATGGGCACTAACCTTGTACTGAAAGAAGCTGAATGGTTGCAGGGTGGGACTTGCATCAACAAATTCAAGGGGCCCCATGGACCAAATAAAAACCAGCAACTCCTCTTCTGTTCCTAATGGTCGCCTAAAGTAAAAAAAAAATAAAAAATGCTTTTAATGATTGTTTATTTCTGCTGGTGCTCATCAAATGTGACATGTGAAGTGTCATGTTTTAATATCCAGAAAAATATTAGGACCTATACTTCAAAGGCTAAATTACTATACTTTTAAGGCTAAATAAAAAAAAAAAAAAAATTTTTTTTTGTATCTAATTCTAGGTTTTAGAGGAAACCTGTAACCCAGAGCAAATATTTTTTGGGACATTCAGTATTTGTAGAAAGAGGAAAAGTGCTTTTTCCTCTTTGCACAATTAAACATTTTATGAAGATGTAGGAATGGTCATTCTGTTAATAACTTGATCTAAAAATCATGTTACATTTGCACGTCAAAATAATGATTAGGTTTATAATTACCTTGGCTAATGTCAAATGGTTACTTTTAGGGCCAAAAGAGGTCCAGCAGCAATACAGCCACAATTTGAGACCCCTGGACTAAAAAGAGTCTAGAAATGACAAAAAACTACTATGGTCATAGTTTCAAATATGTGATTAATAAAACATATACACATATAAGTAATCTTAATGTTTACAATTATGGTTCAGTTGGATTATTTTAAAGTATTATGACTTTTTTGAATATATGGTTTCCATGTGACATCACTGTGATTCAGGCAATTGTTGATGCCTCCACCTAAGTCTTCTGGAGTATCTGACATAGTAAGTCAGGCTGAATTATTCCCAGTGCATTACAGAAATCCAACAAAATTATCCTTTACAGTTATGTCTGCCTTCTCGATGATGGCATTTTCAATTTCAAAGAGATCATCAAAATGAGGTCCTGATAGCTGCTTGTTTGCTAGCTCAGGTCAATCCACAAACATCTCTTTGGGACCTTTATGACAGCGTATTTCAGGGCAAAAGTTCTATCTACAGTCATTGAGAACTGCTGACTGTTTTCTTTGGTAGCATGTTACGGCTGGCTCACTGGCACAACAAATAAAGAGAGACCATGCCACAGGAAAAGGTGCATACCTAACCTTATCTAAAACTAAGGAAAACACATAAGGCAAAGTCATATATGCATGTTGGAGTTAAGATGATGCTCGGTATCAATAGAAGCAACACATTTATCAGTGGTTCCAGGATGCCACCAGAGTGTAAAAATGTAATATTGCCTATTTCATGTATTCAGGGATGGGGCATTCGCTTTTAAATGGAACTGAAAACTGAGAAGTCAGAGTACAGAGGGCAATTTTCTTTTCTTGCATATCACCACGTAGACATCAAGACAAAACATGGAAGATGCAATCTTCAACCCATATATAATTGTAAGCTTTAAAGGAACTACCAAGTTAGCATTACATAACACTAGCAAAATGCATGTCATCAACTCGTATTCTTGTAAATGTAATAAATATGAAAAAAAAGGACAAGACTTTAAAATTTATATACAGACATTTATGCGAGATATGTATAGATTAAACAACAGTAATTGTACCTTACTAGAGCTACGTATGTGCACAGGTTTTTAGGCACAGCTACAATAAAATAGGGTGGTGAAAGTCAAAATTTATTGTAAGTTTTGTTTTGTTTTTTTTCAAAGAGAATATTTCCCTGTACATTTGTCCAAATGGTAAAAACTGTGGACGACCCTGTACACTTTAAGATAAAAAAAAATGTTGATAAGTATTCAGACATGTCGTGTCAAGGTAAAAAATATTTGTCCAGAATTTTGTTTTTTATATTCTCCTTAATGGTTCTCCTGTGTGTAAACTAATCAGATGCAATAAATAATTTCAAATAACATTTTGTGTGTGTGTGCGCATATTTAATAGAAATAACTTTAGCATTGCATATGTTGGGAGCTGGAGAAAATACCACTTTTCTCCAGCAGAGTCCGCCGTGGATCCTCTGAGGGAGCCTCCTGCACAGGTGCAGCTCATCAAGACCATCAGAGGATCCACTACTTAAGCTGCCTTCAGACCTTACCTCAACGCCGCAGTGTTGTTCCAGTTGGTCAGCGCTAAAGCCTTGATCTCAGTGATTTTTCCATGTCCTTAATCCCGAGTCGGATTCTTACGTTTGTCTCTGTGCCTCTAGGTGACTCGTGCTTCCTCCGTGAAAGCTCTGGAAGAGTTAACCTGCCGAGCCGACCCTCCGAGCCAAACCCTGAAGATTCTCAGTCAACCTCTAAGCAGCTCTGGGCAAGAGCTAGGAAACCCAAGCCAAGGTCTGTCCTAATAAGACGTGAGACGCTGAAGCAGCTAACGGACTCTGCTAACACATCCTTCTCCAGAACCAACAGTGACTCTCCCAAGGAGAACCTCAAGAACCCTCAAGGTACTACCAGAGCACCATTGGAAACCAAAACCCCGTCAACAGTCCTTAACTGTGTTGTCTCTCACGCAGACTCCGGTGAAACCAGTTTCCAGACCAAACCAGTCATCTGCATATTACGTGCTTGTGCAATAAACTTGTTAAACTTTTCATCCTGTGTCTGTCAGTGGTGTTCTGCATCTTTGGGTCTCTCTTAGAGAACCGATCATGACAGCATATATCAGCCCTGCACACATAATAAACTATAGGTGAAGATGCACGTATGGAAAAGAATGAACACACTTTTAAGTGGATTGTAATAAAAACTGTTGTTGAAATACAATACCCATACCTCCTAATTAAAGGTCACTTATTTATAATATTTTCTATTAACTTAAAAACACATTACTATCCATATCCAAGTATATTACCATCAGCACAGTTTATACTGTATGCAACAGTTAAGTAGTTTACTTCAAATATGATTGCAACCGTGTAATTTTTCTCAAAGGATTTCACTATACTTTGATGCCCTCTAAGTACTTTGAAAATAAACACCCCTAGCTTCTGGGCAACTGAAATAAAAAATGTAGCAGCACGTCTTAAACATTGTGTTCCTGGGTGATGCAAGCATCCTGATATCTTAGTAAGACTGGGGGTCTTTGATTGTGCAGGCTTTCAGGTGTGTGACACCGTAAAAGAGAGACATTTTCCCGTTTTATCCAAGCCCCAAGCCCCGGCTGCCTGAGTTGGAGGATTCCAGATGTGTCAGAGGGGGCGTGTGTGTGCTACTATGCTAATGCCTGTTTCCCGAGGACTTAAAGGGCTTAGTCTGCTCTGACCCTGCATACAGATCACACTCTTCGGTCAACAAGCAGACCATGACCTTCAGCATGTTTGTGTATATATATATATATATATATATATATATATATATATATATATATATATATATATATATATAGATGTATATACTGTAGATGGTAGGCAAGGTAAAGAACATGAATACTTCAGGGTCAATTACAGTAAAGGAATTATGACACAATGTAACACCTTCCCTTCCTTTTAATTTCATGTTTCTTATGTATGTCACCTGTATATATGATAGGATGTGATGAGTCCATTCGGCTTCTTTGGAGGTGTCCATTGGATCTCCGAAACATTAGGCCCCAGGGCCTTTACTGTGGGGGGCTGCAGACCTTCTGGAGTTTTCTCTAAAGTGCGGATGTAGACACCATCTCCAACCCCACATCCCTCTGAAATAAATTAAACAGATTAAATGTTATAAAACACATTTTAAAGTTTTTTTTTTTCTCCGAAATCATCTTATGAATAAAAACTATTTCCAGTCTCAACCTATGACCTTGGTTAAAAAAAAAAGCAAGTTATTTCTTGGTAGAGTGGGTTGTAAAAGTATCAGAGCAGTGACCTTTGGGTTACTGCATGCAAACCACTTTGTGTATTTCTTTCTTGTTTACTTCATTATTAAAGAGAGAGAGTAACTAAATCAACACTCGCCATTCTGACAGGCCTGTATTCGTATGTAGTAAGTGGTGAAAGGCTCCAGATCCATCACAGAGAGGTGCAAGTCTTGTCCAGCATGACGACTTATGGTTTTGTGACTTCCTGGATTCAACAGGACATTGTAGAAGACAGACTGACTGCTGTTTAGATGAGCTGTGGAGTAAAACAGGATGTTATTACTTACAGCAAGACTTTTTGATGGGAACCTTCTTACAGAAACTTAACTCAAATGACTCTTCAGTTTAACTAATTTCTTTTGGATAAGTAATAACCGGACAGGGCAACATGAAATAAACATAATTTCTATGTTCTAAGATTTTTGCTATAATTCAGTCCTAATAATTCATTACGACAAAATGAAGTATTGCTAAATATTCCATGTAAAAGCTTATAAAGAACCAAATCTAGATTCTTATTAGTTTTAAACCTAATTTAGCTGCTTTTTGAGAACAAAAAATTAGAGAAATTATGAGGAGCTGTTTAATGGGTTTTGTTATTCTTAGAAAGTAGACAGGCCTGAAGTGTTATTGGTATTAGACTGCTTTCTGGGTACTCAAGCTCTCTCCCACAATTTTAAAACAGGAGTGTTAGGTTAAATGCTTTTTCTAAATTGCCCTGAGGTGTGAGTGTGTATGTGTGTGTGAGCAGGGTTGTTTGTCTTTTAGGTCTCTAACACTTTGTGAAGGTCTTGGTCATTACACAGTGGTAAAGGGTTTAGCTCTGTCTAATGACCTTATTTTAAACTTATTTTACTATCTACTGTTATGAAAAATGTCGGTTAGGTTCTTACATAAATAGCTATGGCATAGTACTGCCAAAAAATACTTTTAGGTTCTCATTGTTTTCTGTCTATTTTGTCCCATGATACACACAGGAGTTAATACTTGATAGCTACAGTTTTAGAAAACAAGGGTGGTCTAATATTCTTTGTTAAATGACTGTATTTCTCTGATGCAAGCTGTTATTTGTGGACCCACTGTATATACTGTGTATATCCATGCACTTTTTTCTTCCTTTGGCAGATTCTTCATCTTTGACTTGAGCTGGTGTAATGAGTAACTTTCTCCACTGTGAGATCAATAAATACAATCAATCACTCAAACCATTAAATGTGAGTGTATATTTGTTGAACCTGGCCAATGGTTGATTCTGATTTTGTTCATTTATTTTATTCCCTTGTTTCCCTGCTTTTGGTTATACGTCTTGTCTTCTAAAATGTATTAGAGGATTTTTCTGAAAAATTAAGTGTCCAGATTCATCTAAAATGACTTGATAGATCGATGGCATTCTTGCACTTATGGTCCCCCTGGATGACTGCGAATCTTCACAGATATAAGAACGTTGGTACATTTCCAAATATGATTAATTCATTAAGTTTATCTTTAGATAGTGAGGTAGCATTGAGGGCAACTACAAAATGTTGCTGTTTGGTCTATTTTGATCTAGTTGAGATGTCTAAGTTATCAAAATTATAAGTTTTATCTAAGCCTCCAACTTCTGTGTTTGATCAAATTCAAACCAAGTTATTTAAGACGATTTTCCTTCTGATTTTCACCTCCATTATAGTTAAGACTGATCTTTACCTAATAAAGGGATATGCACTACAGGCTTTTGAGGCAGCTCTAATCAAACCTTTACTTACGAAATGACTTGATAAATAATAGACCTATGTCTGATCTTCCTATCTTTATAACATTCTAGATAAATACTTGCTAATAAAGTTTGTGAGGACTTACATCCTAAATAACTTTTTGAAAAGTTGCAGTCTGGTTTTAGAGCTCATCATAGCATTGAAAGATCAATAGTAAAACAATGATATTCTCCTGAACTCCCACAATGGATATGAATATCCACAGACTACAGGGGGAAGGTTAATGCTACAACAACATTAAAACTGTGACTGTGATCCCAAATGGGTACAGCAAAGTGAATGTACAGGTTATAGGCACTGATGATTCAGCTCTCCCGTGATTCAACAGAACAACAGCTAACTTGGAGACTCAGCTAGTAAACAAAATACTAATAATAAACCCACCAGCAGTCCTTTCTGGCATGTTTTAGGAGCAAGGCCAATGTATCAAGGTATATGACTCATTGTAAGGTCTTGACAATGATTCAAATCATAATAGCCAGAATTATAGAAAAATACCCCCTTCCCCTCCAAAAAGGGAAATCTCGACAGTTGTCTCAACAGCTGATATGAGTGAGCCAGCTGAAACTAAAGGAATCCCTCTTCAAAACTGGTCTTATCAGCAAAATGACCCTTCTGCTCTCAACAACAGGAAATTATGTGATAATATCTTTATTCAATACAGTCTCCTCATAAGCTTCCAGACAATGGGTGCCCCACTGGGCCAAAGACTATAAAGGTTTGAACACCCCACTGTGTGCTTAAAATATTTTGTTTTGGATTTCACCCCAAAGCAGATGTGTTTTTTTGTAACTGAGTCTCTCTTCCTGTTGGATCAATGAAATTGCAGCTGAATTGCTGCATAGTCCGACTAAGGCCCTCTTGCAGAAAATCGTGTCAGGTGTGAACATCCCAATTGGCTGTTAATGAGTGCTAAATACCACAACCTCGTTGGACACAATTTTTTTGTTGGATTGATGCAAAATCAGATTTGGTAAATTCTGGGCTTCAACACCTCAACTTGAAGGCTTCGTAATTTATAAGTGGGACACTCTCAGGTCTGGATGCTCAGTTGTTGAACTGCTCTGTTCTTTTCGTTGCAATCGAGACAGTGGCTTGGAATTATTTGCTTTGATGACTTCGGAAAAAAAAATTTCAACATGTTTTGAGCGAGAGTATACTGTACCTCAAATTATCATCTGTACTGTCAGTCCATCAGGATTATGATCCTATTTACTGTAAATATTTTTGTTCAGATGGACAGACCCCCTGGCTGTGAGCGATAGTGCTGGGAGTCCCCAGTGAAAGCTTTCTAAAGCCGGCGAGGCTTTTGGGGATTTCCTGCTGCCATTCCTATAAAATATTTTTTGACTTGACATGTGTTAAGCGCCTATAGAGTGGCCAATAATAGCATTGGAAAGTGGGACTTTTTCAGCTTTTCACACAGCGTCAACCAATCAGAAGGGTTGATCCAGTTTCTACCATTTTCTGCGTGAGATTGCTACAGTTTCACCAACACCAGTGACTGTCTATTGTTGCCACATATTCATGCAGAAAGAGCAAATCCTGCAAAGACCATGACTAGATGCAATCTGCTGGGTTGCCTTAGCTAAAAAGTTTTAACAAATGGGACTGGTAGGAACCTTGAGGTGATATGTGTTGTGAATCTGCGCCATATAATTTAACTGCATTGAAATTAGGGATGGCAATTGCTTGCTTTTATTGACTAATTACATTTTTGAAGATGACATTTTTTTTCTTAGGTTCCTGCAGCTCATAGTGACATTCCAACACTTTTTTACTAAGATGTGTATTCATAGCTGATTTCCTATCCAAAAAGCATGTTTCACAGTGTGAATTTCATTGCCCTTTAAAATAAGGTAAACTTCCAGGGGATAACTGAGATAAAAGTTGTTTTTTTAATGTTATTGTTTAATTTTGAAACTTATAAAAAATATAAGTCAGGAATGCATACTTGACAATTTTCCAGCTGATAGTCATTGATACCTTCCAAAAGATGGGTGCACAAGCAACAGAGAGCAGCCTTGAGGGGACTGTGAAGCACTGCGGCATGGAGTACAACTGTAGTTAGAGCTTCAAAAGCTGACACACACAAACGTATCCTAGACATTAGAGTTGTCAAATGTATCGATACTCAAAACAGTATTGATACTGGTCCTAAATCCGATACGAATCTGATCTTTTCAAATGCAACCTAATTCTAAACGGCCAGATCGCCTTCACCTGACCTGAACATCATCAATACTCAACAAAGGTCACTATTCTGCATCTTGCTACGCAGGAGCCGGAAGAAAAACAACAACCATAGCAGATGATAATGGAGAGTGCAGTCTTTCCTTCCAACCATCATGAAAAGTTTGAGTTTTTAGGTTTGGAAAGATCACTAGATGTGCTCTAGCACTACCATACATGTTTACTTCTGAAAACACAGAGCACTCTTGCTTGTGACATCATTGCGTCCTCTACTGCGCATGCAGGACTGTTGTGTTGTATGAATGCACTTCACACAGGAGATCAATAACAAGTCACATATATTTGGAAATGTGAACAGCAATGCAAAAAAAATGGACTTTAAAAAAAATCGGAATTGAGCATTAAGGTCTGCAATGTGAACGTAGCCTTAGACATTTCTGAACACTCTGCTGACAAGCATTACCAATACGCTTGTCCACTGTGAGAAATGTATCTCCTGTCTGGAAAGTGAAATTGAGAGGTACTACATCCTGTTGATTTAATTTTATACGGCACAAAACCAAAGTTAAATGTGCGTTATTTTCAATATCATCATATGACATTGTTTCGCCACAATTTGATTCATTGCATGTTCGCAATTTGTCTTTCAAAAACTCACTGGAAACTAAAAGTAGTTCAATTCAGCTGCAGGTGGCCCGGAGATAAGGATTTTACCACGCTGGTCCCCATGGGAAATGTTGTGTTCCTTTAGACAGTAGATTGATGTATTTGTTCTAAAAATAATTTTTAATCATTCGTTTTATAAATCAGGACTTAATTTGAATTTAATTGATGTAAAAACATCTTAACATTTGAAAGTTATCTTCAGGAATGTGTTTCAGCAGTTTTTAACAGGTTAGACCTTCACATCACAAAAAGTTAAATACCAGATGCACTACTGCAGAGGGACCAAAGTTTAGGTAATTTTAAGAGTGTTTAATTTCTGCTTCAGTACGTCAACCAAAACCTTAAAGGAACATATCCTGAAGCCATCACATTATCATATAGATATTATACATTGATCAAGCAGAGCATTCTATGGTTTAAAATGCAGACAATCTGGCCTGAACCCAGACAAATGCTTGCAAACGTATAAAGGCAGCACACACACCCTAATCCCCCCCATCCACCCCCCCACCCACCCACACACACACTGTGACTTTGTTAATATTCTCACAGGAGGTTTTTCCATAATTCAGGCCAACTGTATTGTGATGGGTTATTCAACATTCATGAACTCTAGATATCTCGAGAACGAACTGATTACCAGACAAATGAAAGACTTCAATTATTCACCCCCAACTCACATATCCACACAAGCACTGGAAAACATACACGCACACACACCTGCGACTTCAGCTTATAAGGCTTTTTGGAAGGAGCACTGCTCTTTCGTCATACAAAAAGACTGCCTTAGAAAAAGAAATCCATACAACAGCACTAAAAGAAGTTTTAATCATAAATATGATATTTAAATTCAAGTGTCTAAAGCCACTTAGTGGACTTGACCATGTCTTCTCCATAAACATGAATCAATTTCTAATGCTCTCACACATTGCGGGATACAAATAGACAAATCCCATGTATCACTGTCTCTCTGAGACATGGATACATCTTAAGATAGCTACAAACATGACGTAAGAAGGGATCTGATCTTTAAGAATGGATAATATTATTTTGAACAGCCATAATTCAGTGGTATATCAGTCAATGCATGCACATGAAGACGCAGAGACAGGTGCATGTACATACACACAGGTGGACACACTGCTGGAGGTGTAGACACACACATGCGTGCACAAAAAAGATCAAAATACTCCAGACTCTGGACTCGAGGAGTTAACCAAGCGTGAGAACCCAGCCAATATTTCCTCACCTTTAAAATCAACCCATAATGACGATAGAATAGGCCTGCCTATGGAAATATCTCACAGTGATGTGAATGCACTCACATACACACGTACGTACACACACGCATACATAAACACAGGCACAAATATACAGAAAGAGGACACACACATACACACAGGTAAGTGGAGTGTCTTCATAGTTGGTCCGTTTAAGCTGTTCTGAGATGGGAAATCAGCCTAATGAGAGAGTAATAGTCAATGATAGATGGGTTAGGGCAGACAATCACTGCCCCATAAGCATGAAACTAAGCCCTCAGTGCATGTTCCTGTATACTAGTGTGAATGTTTGGGTCTTGAAAGGCCAGAAGGTGAACAACTCAGGTCTTTGTTCTTTTCAGAGAAAATTTTCTCTTATTTAATTTTCAATAAACTCTATATTTCCTGAAACTCATAAACATACATTATTAGAATGTTTACATAATAAAATAACTTTATTTTTTTCAATTTTGGAATTTATAGCTTTAATTAAATGATGACAAAGAATATTTATAAAACTAAGACGATTGGGAAGACACTCATGTCCTGAATCTAAACAAAGTCTGAGAGAAAAATATATTTACCCCTTTCACTGATTTACATGTGTTTTATGAAAATAGTGACTTACCAGGAGGGGACCAGGTAAGTGATACGGAGTGAGGGCCTAAAACTGTCATGTCGAAGGGGGGTGGGATTCCAGTGGGGCAGGAGACTGGCGTATCTACAGCATATTTCTCACTCAACCCACTGCCGCCTGCTGTACTGGCCTCCAATTCATAGAAATACCTGAAGAGAAAATTAGGTATAGAGGAGAAGGAAGAAAATGGCAAAAGGGTGCAGTAGAAAGAGAGAGCAACAACAGAAGTATTAGTTAGAGGTCTGCTTAAAATAAAGACTCTAGAGACATAATTATCCTTGTTTTTTATTCAAAATGGTACAAGAAATCTACTATTTATGTTGTGGCAAATTAAAACCGTAATTCTTCACAAATTAGGCTACTCATTGGGACATGTTTTGGAATGACAAAACACTGTAGGACACACTGTACATACAAGTGAAAGGAAGAAGATGTAATGCTCTTATAAAAATCCAAAATCAAAATTACTCCAGTTATCCTGAATATCACATGAGTACCACAGGGATTAGTTCTAGGACCAATTATCTTTAATTTATATATGCTCCCAATCGGTAGAGTTATTAGACAGCATGGGATTAATTTCTACTGTTACAGTATGTTGATGATACCCAGTTATATCTGTCTATAAATCCAAATGAAGCTAACCCATTACATACATTTACATCTACAGGCATGTCTCGAAAACATAAAAACCTGGATGACTCTTAACTCTCTCCTTCTGAAAGCAGACAAAACAGAAGTTATAGTCTTTGGACCAGAGTCTTTGAAAAATAAGCTGATTAGTCAATCACTTCAATTGGATTGTATTAAACTGATTTCAGAAAATAAATTAAAAAATCTTGGGGTTGTTTTTGATCAGGACGTGTCATTTAAATCCCATATCAAAGATGTTTCTAGAATTTCCTTCGTTCATCTGTGGAATATTGCAAAAATTAGAAATATCCTGTCCAGGGGTGATGCTGAGAAACTAGTCCATGCGTTTGTTACTTCAAGGCTGGACAATTGTAATTCTTTACTATCAGGAAGTCCACAAAGTAGTTGGAATCCTTCAGCTGATCCAAAATGCTGCAGCCAGAGTTCTGATGAAAATTAAAAAGAGAGATCATATCTCGCCTATCCTGGCTTCTCTTCATTTACTTCCTGTTAAATCCTTACTAGAATTTAAAATCCTCCTCGCATGTAAAGCCTTAAATGGCCAAGCTCCATCTTATATCAGAGATCTGATTGTTCCTTATGTTCCCAACATAGCACTTCACTCTCAATCTGCAGGTTTACTAGTGGTTCCTAGAATTTCTAAAAATAGAATGGGAGGCAGATCTTTTATTTATCCGGCTCATCTCCTGTGGAACCAACTACCAGTTATAGTCCGTGAGGCAGACACCCTGTCTACTTTTAAGGCTAGACTTAAAACTTTCTTTTTTGATAAAGCTTATACAGTAGTTAGAGTGGCTCAGGTTATCCTTAGCTATCTCTATAGTTATGCTGCTATAGGCTTAGACTTCTGGAGGACATAGGGACCCCCATTTCATCATTCTGCTTGATTCTATCTCTGTTCTCCTATTCTGCAGAATCTGTTAGTTCAATCTCTAACGTTATGCCCTCTCTGCTTTTTCTCATAGTAGCTTTGCCTCGTCTGTTCCTGTTTGGCTGTGACACCATCCTGGAGAGAAATATCAGCTGTGCTGCTTCCATCAACACCCTTGTTTATAGATGTTGGAGATCGGCCTGTTTTCCAGTGTAGTCCTGTTTCTCTGACTGTGACTGGCTGGATGTGCTCTCTTAATTCTCTGACATGGGAGCTGGCTCGGAGCTCATCTGCCTGGCTGTGTGTTTTCTGGATGGGGCCGCCTTTTACAACTGCTTTTTGTATCTCTGCTTCTGTCTCCTTGAACCCCAGTCGGCCTCGGCAGATGGCTGCTCACACTGAGCCTGGTTCTGCTGGAGGTTTCTTCCTGTTAAAAGGGAGTTTTTCCTCTCCACTGTCGCTACAAGCATGCTTAGTGTGGGGGATTGAATTCAATGTCAATGAGTCGATGCAGTCAACTGGTTTTCCTTAGATAGAAAACTTTGAATCAATTTTACTGTATGATCTGGTTGAACTGTAAAGTGTCTTGAGATGACATGTGTTGTGAATTGGCACTATATAAATAAACTGAATTGAATATAATTCAGAGAGATCATCTGTGTTAAAAAGTAGTCTGTTTTAGTACAAAGGACCCACCAGTGTAGAGGTGTTAAAGTTAAAAAAGATTAAAACTGGTTTAGGTTACAAAGAATAACAAACCTACAAAGAAGAACATCCATTGAAAACTAAGCTGCACGCACAGATACAGTAGGAGACTATTAGGAGGAGTGACAAGAAGGAACCTTTGGGACCAAATCTAATATTCTGGTCTACATGAAAATGCTTTGTTGAAAAAAATGAACATGAACATACAATCACAAATGTGATACACAGAGGTGAATGGGGCAATGATTTGTTTTCAGTAGGGACAGAAAGGATGAGAAGGAATACCAAAAAGAAAACATGCTAGAGGCAGCAAAAGGGTTGAGGCTAAGAGATTCAACTTCCTGCAGAATAATGACCCAAACATACAACCAGATTTAACACAGATCTCTTAATCAAACCTCCTGGGTCAGAATGGCCCAAATTTCTGTGTTAAGAGCTGAAAACTGCTGTTCATAAACACTTCCTATCCTGCCTGACTGATGGTAAGCTATTATGCTAAGAAGACAGAAAAGTCAGTATCTACACTATATTGCCAAAAGTATTTGCTCACCTGCCTTGACTCACATATGAGCTTAAGTGACATCCCGTTCCTAATCCATAGGGTTCAATATGACGTCGGTCCACCCTTTGCAGCTAGAACAGCTTCAACTCTTCTGGGAAGGCTGTCCACAAGGTTTAGGAGTGTGTTTATGGGAATTTTTGACCATTCTTCCAGAAGCGCATTTGTGAGGTCGCACACTGATGTTGGACGAGAAGGCCTGGCTCTCAGTCTCCGCTCTAATTCATCCCAAAGGTGTTCTATCGGGTTGAGGTCAGGACTCTGTGCAGGCCAGTCAAGTTCATCCACACCAGACTCTGTCATCCATGTCTTTATGGACCTTGCTTTGTGCACTGGTGCACAGTCATGTTGGAAGAGGAAGGGGCCAGCTCCAAACTGTTCCCACAAAGTTGGGAGCATGGAATTGTCCAAAATGTCTTGGTATGCTGAAGCATTCAGAGTTCCTTTCACTGGAACTAAGGGGCCAAGCCCAGCTCCTGAAAAACAACCCCACACCATAATCCCCCCTCCACCAAACTTTACACTTGGCACAATGCAGTCAGACAAGTACCGTTCTCCTGGCAACCGCCAAACCCAGACCCGTCCATCAGATTGCCAGATGGAGAAGCGCGATTCGTCACTCCAGAGAACGCGTCTCCACTGCTCTAGAGTCCAGTGGCGGCGTGCTTTACACCACCGCATCCGACGCTTTGCATTGCACTTGGTGATGTATGGCTTGGATGCAGCTGCTCGACCATGGAAACCCATTCCATGAAGCTCTCTGCGCACTGTTCTTGAGCTAATCTGAAGGCCACATGAAGTTTGGAGGTCTGTAGTGATTGACTCTGCAGAAAGTTGGCGACCTCTTCGCACTATGCGCGTCAGCATCCGCTGACCCCGCTCCGTCAGTTTACGTGGCCTACCACTTCGTGGCTGAGTTGCTGTCGTTCCCAAACACTTCCATTTTCTTATAATACAGCTGACAGTTGACTGTGGAATATTTAGGAGCGAGGAAATTTCACGACTGGATTTGTTGCACAGGTGGCATCCTATCACAGTTCCACGCTGGAATTCACTGAGCTCCTGAGAGCGACCCATTCTTTCACAAATGTTTGTAAAAACAGTCTGCATGCCTAGGTGCTTGAATTTATACACCTGTGGCCATGGAAGTGATTGGAACACCTGATTCCAATAATTTGGATGGGTGAGCAAATACTTTTGGCAATATAGTGTATGTGTAAAACTTAGAGAGGCCTACTTAAAATGGCAGAGAAGGGCCGTTGTATAAGTTATTAACCATAAATATATACAGTTCTGCTTGAAAGTTCACATACCCTTCCATTAATTACAGTAAAAAAATCAGCTACTAGTCAAATAAATTGAAAATGACAGAAGAAATAAGAAATACAAATAAAAAAATATATAATTTTCTTCATTGGGAGGGAATGTTAACTTTTAAGCACAACTTTTCAAATGCCATGCTTTAAGATACATACATGGAGTCTTGGTAGCCCTAATTAAATTAAGAAAAACCCACAATGGTCACATAAGTAACTGAAATCTGACAGAAATAATAATAAAGGTTTATTTATTTTTTTAAATATTTCTATTGGAGCATTGTTAGAAAGCAATGTCTGACATTCATTTGTTCATTTTCATAGAACAACCATTACACATTGCAGCCCAATTTAAGAAAGCAGTAAAATTAGATACACCATTTCATATTTAAAACTAATCACACTTCTAACTAGACATAAGAGATTATGATCCAGATACAAATTTAATAACAGAAGACAAGGTTGGGATGGGATGATTTGAGTCATTTGGGGAGTTAAACAAAACAGATATATGATCACTGCAGTAACATATAGGCTGTTCAATTATCTAAACAGTTTGCTGAATAAGTCATAATATAATAATCTCAAAATGGAGCATGCATGCAACCTCCAACCACTCTAGAATATTTTATTCCAATGAAAACACATTGATAAGGTGTTTTTCTTAAACTAAGATGATCTTACATTTAAAAGAAATCAAATTTTTGATTAATAAAAATAAGCAGCAAAAGTTTTTTCAATTTGTTTTTTTGTGTGCAAATTCTTTTAAGGGAGGGATAATCATTTGTTCTTCTTGTTTAAATATGTTGCATAAACCCATTTTGCCAATAATAAACAAAAATAAAAGGAGCAAACAGATAAAGATTTACTTCACTTTTTCCTATTAGCTCTAGGAACTAAGGTGGCATTCAAACAATTTTGATTTTGTGTCAGGAGGACTATTGTTGTGTTGATTCAAGGAAATGTTTTAGATCAATATCCTGTTGAGGACCCAGTTACACTTAAAGAGATTTCAAGGCTTTGTTAACCTATATGTTTTTTTGGAAGAGAAGGTATCACAGATCTTGGTTGCATTTCCACATCGTATGGATAGAACCTTTTCTCTCGCAGCGTGTCCAAAAAAACACAATTGAGAGATTGGTAAGGATTTAGATGGATGTTGCCAAATAGGAAAAGCAGAGTCCCCCCCACACCATTGGGTTCTAAAATCTGTACTGTGATCTGTTACATAATGAATAGTTTTGAGGATGGTGTGGCTGAGGCTGTAAGCAAATATTAACATTTCTATGAAACATCTTCTAAATAATACAAAGCATTTTATTCTCCGTCTATTTCTTCCATCCTAAAACTGCCTCCTCTGCCATTGTTGATTCTTGTGGAGTATGTACGTATGATGCTACCTTTAGAGATTTTTTTTTATTTTTTATATCTGACAATTTTTGGAGCATATTTATTAAATTCAAAGGACACACACGTCTGTCTACATGCATGCTGAAACTGACACTTTTCGTCAGTGTTATTATTTCTTTCTCCTTTGTTTCAAAGGTTTACCTCTTTCTCTCTCTATCATGGGTCTTAGCGCCTCTCTCGACCCCCTCTCAGTCTCTCTTGCTCATGACATCATAAGATAGATTTCCCTTTTAAGAGCATGTGGCTGCTTGGTGCCGGGTCCTGCATTAACTGTGTAAGAGGGCCACCATTTAACATTAAAAGCCTTTAATTTGCTATAAACTCCAGCACACATGCATTAATAGGCGGTGATGTTGGGTTATTGTTCATGTGCCGAGCGTTTTAAACAGGAGGCCATTAGCGCCTCGGCACTGGGTTAGAACGCACTCAGGAAAACATATTAAAACTAGTCATACGTTGCTTTCACACACAAGCACAGACACACAGAAAAACATAAATAAATACACATCAGTGAGACACACTAACTGGGGAAAGGAAAAAGAGAGAGAGAGACAGGGAAAGGCATCATTGAAGGGAGGGGCTGAAGAAGAGACAGAGTGCAATGAAGAGGAAGAATTTTATCATGGCATACGGTTTCAGTGGGAGAATGAAGTTCAACACTTCATCACTGGAAGATATTTACCTAAATGTAAACACCGCCTTGGGATATCAAAAGTAAAATTGTGTGTGTGTGTGGATATTAGGTAATCAGAGAATGGAGCATTTGCATCTGTTTGGATGGAAATTGGAGAGAGTGTGTGTGTGTGTGTCCTGTGGGGCCAGCCAGAGGGAATAGGTTAATTCTCTCGTCATCTTAGACACTTCCTGGGCTGCCCAAGCAAAGTGACAGCTAATCAACATTGTCATAAATAATCAATGGCCACTTTGAGCTGTCCCATGCGTGGGCTCAAAGAAGTGCCACACTGCACGCTTGCACGCGCACACACGAGTCAGCCCGGATAATGGGGCCGGTGCTCCCTGTGTAATTCTTGGTTCAGGGTTAAATTGGGAAAAGAAGGCAAAGAGGAAGAGAATGAGGTAAGAGGGAAATGATAGCAGGGAAGGGAGGGATAGACGCTGAGGGCTGTGGGGTATGGGAGGCAAGACAAGTGATGAGAAGCGAAGGGTCCGGACAGGAATGCCTTCTGGCAGACTATCTAGAATTAGGGAAAATTAAACGTCACACACACATGCAGTGCCTTCACATGCACATGCCTTCTTTTTCTCTTATGCGCAAGTACTGGCAAGGTGGGAGTAAAGGTGATGCTACCCCAACTTTTCTATTTGGGTGAGAGAGAAATTGTCTCAATTGAGGAAAAGCTGAGGAGGAAGGAGAAAAGGTACCATTAAACAGTTCTTTAATTAATGCAGGAAATCTATTTTGTAATTAAAAAAAGGCAAGGGGATTAATAAAGGTTAAATGAAAATAAACAGATAAATAAAATCTACGCTCTGCTGCCATGTGCAAGCAAATGCCAAATCTGATTCATGATTTTAATTCGCAAGCAGGATAATGTTTGCATCTGTCATTTGTATGTCAAATATTTGCTCATTAAATGACACAAACAGACATGTACAGAGCGTCGCCCCGAGAGAGACATGGTCAGAATTATGGGAAAGAGAAAAACAAGGGTGACCTTTACATAAACATATGGAAAAGTTAAGATATAGGCACTAAAAGTCATCACTGATCCACCTGGGCACCAAGTTCTTTTCATGCGTGTTTTCATGTGTGACAATACTTCACCTGTGATTTGGCAGGAGTCCAGTATCAGTAAAATTCTGGTCCCTGTAATCTCCAGTAAAAACAGTGCGACCATCTCTTATAAGAGTGTACTGGAACACATGTCCATTAGGCTGAGATGGCTGATCCCAGTACAGTTCCACAGTGGATGTGTTTAATACCAGGTGTCTAGGGCTGGACCACACACCTAAAATATTCAGAATTTAGAGGAGAGGAAGAATGAGTGTAGAAAGGTGTATCTATTGATATCTAGAACTTGACCTCTTTATTTTGAGCAAGCTGGCATTTGAAAATTTAGAAATACTTTTAGAATAAATGTAAAGAGTAAAAAAAAAAAATTCAAGAATTAGACATAGATTTTTTTTTTTCAATTGAAAAAATATAAGAAACATTAAGAAAAATCTGATTTAAAAATGTAACAGATTCATGAGCATTAAGGGGAAAAACTTGATTTAAGGTCATCAATAAACGAAACCTTTAAATCAGAACATGCATCGGAATTAACTTAGGGGGTGGATAGCATCAGAAAAATTCAATTCAATTCAAAACAAAATTTCAAATAAATAAAAATTCCCAAACCAAAAATAAAAATGTACTTTGGGGAATTATTTCAACAAAATTCTCTTTATTCCGAAGATTAAATAATTTAAAAAGACTATATTGTCTAAAGACTATATTCCCGATTAAAAGTTTAAACATCAAAAGGCCTTAACTTCAGTTCTGGGAGAGATGTACAACAAAGATTTTACAGCTTCTACAAAGTATTAAAGATGTGTTTGCATTGTAACGGTGTGTGTGTGTGTGTGTGTGTGTGTGTGTGTGTGTGTGGGAGGGGGCATACCACTAGGCGAGGCTTGCATTGTGCGTCCTGTAGAAGGTTCGCTGGCTGCACATCCTACAGTCGTACATGCCACCACCAAAAAACTGTAGTCCGAATATGGCTGCAAACCTGTAGCACATGAACAATCATAACCAAGGACTAATTAAATGGTAACTCTAGTGCATGTATAAGCATTTATAAAACTGTCTTAAACATTACATTGCAAACCTATATCTATGTATGCAAGGACATAATTGAAACTGTAAACTAAAAAAATAGTAAAAAAAAAAACAGAGGAGTTGTCCTGCGTTTCTCTCTTCCTCAGCTCTTTCCTCACTCTCAACGGATGGATCCATATCTGTCGGTGTTAAATTATGCATGCCATAACTCAATAATGAAACAACGTAAAGATGGGCAGCCGTGGAACTGACATGGGATAGGACTGGTCTAACGCTGTAATGTCATCAGCTTTTGATCTATGATAATTATGATACCTCTGTATGCATTTAGGCTACATTGTCCAGACATGATTTATTTATAGGCACCAGCTATGCAGACTAAATGAAAAAAAGCTTCTGAAAGGTACTTTAAGACGGACCACATAAAATCAGCTTTTCCTATATATTTCAATACCAGAAGTTGCTAAAAATTCAATATAGCAAACGATCCAGTTATACTGGAAACAACTTTTTCATGCAGATGTATATTTTATGCCTGGCTTTTGATGTGAGGTGGATCCGAGAGGAAGAATGCAAATTCTTAGTGCTGCCACGAGGGTTGACTGGGTATTTTATGGTCATTCACTTAACTGACAGCATACAACAGCTTGCAAATCAAATTCAAAGGAGAAATGAAAGAACTCAATTGACATTTCAAAAGGATGACTGCATAATATAGTGTGTTGAATTCTTTTTTCTGCTTTATTCAGCGCTACATAGGGACAGAGAAAACGTTTCACGCTAATAACTTACTTTAAAATAAATCTTTGTGGAGACCTAGTGAATTACTTCTCATAATAACGGAGCTTCTTTATATATATTTTAATTTATTGCATTTTAACTTTAAATACTTTAAAGTGTGATGCATATTTTTAGTGAAACTATAAGAAAAGATTATGCATGATTACAAATTCTTTGATGCTTTTATGATTAAACATAAAAGAAATTCTCCAGTTTTTAATGCTTACAAAAAAAAAACTTGGTCTCAGGCAGGTAATGCTGTAACCAAACATGCACACGTGTTTAAAAGACCCTGTGAAAGAACTCATCGCAGTAAACATGCATGCATATAGATCCAAAGTTCAACCCACATAGCTTCACCGCATCTTCCTCACGTCCGTCTCTGCTGCTTGGCCTGCTTAGCGTAACCCACAGCCTGCCACGCTTAGCTCTACTTCTGATCAATTTGTGTGTGTGTGTGTGTGTGCAAATGCCCTGACAATGCTGCTCCGTGTTTGAATTAATAAAAGAAATCTGCCAGCCATACAAAAGCACTAAGGTTGAGGCATAAGGCAGTGTTACACTGTTTAACTGTCAAACTAGGTGTGCTTATTAGTGTGTGTGGGTGTGCTCTACCGTAGTAAATGTATCCACACAGCACGTAATGTCATTTGTTCCAAGACTGAATGAAGCAGCAAGCCGTCACAGGATGCTCTTGTACTAAAAGTGTCCATGCATGAGTCTCAACGCTGCCAAATATTTAAAACAGATGAATGCTATAACCTTCAAACTACAGTTAAAAAACAACTGGATAAAGATTTCTTATTAATAGAAAAATACAAAACCAATTGTTTTTTTATGTCAACGATTAAATAACGTGAAACAACATATGCATTCATTTCAAAATTTATCAAAATTTGCAAAAGCTTAATTTTTTTTTCTTGAATCACAAGAAAAATGCATCAACCAATCTTATAAGTGACAATTTAAAAAAATACATTCAAATGAGCAGAAATGTTTCTCCTGGTTTAATAGATGCAAGTGTCCAGATGCAAACGTGATAACTTTCAATTTCCTTGAGGAGTTTCTGATTACCTGAGATAATCAGCCCAAAGAGGGCAGTGTTGCTCTGCAGGAGAAATGAGAAATGACACCTCAGATGGTGTGTGTGTTGCATCTGTAAGCTTATGGATGTAATTATAAAAAGACAGAGAAAGCCTTTTTTTTAAACGGTGATCACTGTAACAGTGAAAGTAAAAAAATATTAAATATATAATGATATGATGGAGGGGGCTTCAGATGTGAGCGGTCCCACTGACACCAATTGATACCGCTGTCATTAGGAGATCTGGACACAGCGGAGATCTGTGTGATGAGGTTAGGCACAGCAGCACAGAAACAGAAGGACTTTGGCTGAGGAAAGGGGAAAATAATGTTATTTCCCATCTAAGTGAAGGGGCAGAGAGGCCAAGCAGGAGTACAAACAAGTTTAAGATTTACAATTCTTTTTAAATTATGCCACTGTGAAGTTGAACTGATTTAAAATGATATTTCAGTTACAATGCTATTTTCTGTCTTCATGAGTGAATATAGAAAAAGGGAAAGACCATTACATCCATTCTACTTGATGGAGTGAAAGATAGAATGATATTATCAAGAGGAGAACAGGAAAAGGTAAATTAAGGAAAAAGAAGAGGACAAATACAGAAAAAATAAACAAAGAAGGACAAAGTTGGTTCATAAGCTCAAGACAAAATGAAAAGATAATAATAAAACCCCCTTTTTTCAACTGACTACCGTGAAGAAGGAAAAGAAACGAAACAAATGAGGCTGGAGAATGAGAAGAGAGCTTTGATAACACCTCTCCTGAATAATTAAAAGTTTGACTTCCTGTCTGTGCCTCCTTGATGCAGGCACTCTCTTAGCTGAAACAACGAGCTCAGATTCAAACGCAGTCACACATGAACAAATCCCTCAAAGAAAACTAAGCTGTGGCCTGCAGCTGCAACTAAACTACCACACATGGTCAAACTGTTAACTTCTGTTAATTATCAATTTGAAGCATTTTTTTTTTTTGTTAAACTGATGTTAGAACATACAACCTTAATGAATAAAAAGAGAAAGAGTTGGTTGTTGATTTTTCTGGAAATTTTCTACATTACTTGATTTAAGAAAACAAAAAAAAACAACGACAAAAAAAACAACTCTAAATCATGTCACAGACTCTGCATCACACTGATAACACCAAACAAAAATGACTGCATATTTGCACAATATATATTAATGCTCTGAACTTCAATATCAATGCGTTTTTTTACACCATGTGTTTTTTTTTCTCTCACATTGCTTACATTTGATCACTGCTGCACTTTAAGAAATGGAAATGTTAATTTTCTGTCTGAAAACCTGTGCCTAGTTTTTCTTTTAAATAAATTCTGTGTATACATAATGACAATAAAATTTGTCTAAGTCTAATCTAGATTCTGGGATACAGGCTGAAATCTGCTTTTGTGGAATTTGTATATATTTGTGCCTGTTTAGCGCACACAAAAGACTTTGTTCACTAACAGATTTCCGCATTTTTTAGATTTAGTTTGTTTCATAAATTATGGCAAATCGTCCAGTCCCTGAAACAGCAAATCAGCCCCAATTTACCACAATACCATACAATATATGTCCTTAAAAAACAAAATAAATATATATTTTTGTCCCAGTCCCTAATTTCCTGAATGCCAAAACATCTTAATGAATGCCATTCTTAAAATTCCTTATTCCCAAATGTAACAGACATTTTTTTTTTTTTACTTTTGGTCAACAGTGGTTCTAATTTGAATGTCCAACGGCAGCAGTTTCTGTCCACTATTCTTCTTATTTTAAATCTTGAACGCTCACTTGAACTTTAACCTGCAGCGCCCGCCTATTTAAAAGGATTTCAACCTGGAGAGACTCACATAGAGAATTGTTGCGATTAGAAAAGATTTATTGACATAAATGAAATGAGTTATTTGGCGCTCGGGCCCCGGCAGAAGACTTTGATGCTATGAATCAACATTTGCTTAGATGAGCAACCTAGGAAAAGGGTTAGAGTAGTCTTCCCCCCGAAGGCCCGGACACTGGTGGTGTAATAAACCAGAGTTTGAGTGGGACTGAAAATAGTCTGAGAGGGAGGTTAGGCCAGAAGCTAAAGGAAGGGAATCTTGAATGATGATTGGCTTTGGAGGGAGTACGGCCCCGACATTTATTGGAGGTGAATGAGGATCATCGCAGTTGGTCCAGGTGAAACTTATAAGAGTCTTCCAGATTGAGTTTTTGCTTAAGTGGTGCTAATGTGGCATGGTCATTAAGAAGCTACGACTACATGTTTGCATGAGTGCAGTGAAATAAAAGGAAAACAAATTTTTTTCTAACACGGTCCACCCTTAAAACAGGCTTGTTCACAAAAATTCTAAGCATTTTCCATTCGTGTGAGTTCACATTTTGAAACTTGGATGCTGTTAAGCGTTCAAACAGGTCAATGAAACTAAACATTTTAACTGGCTTTAGAGGGTTTGGCCTCCGCAAATTACAGACCTCATACCATTTGGGGAAACTAAATGAACTCTACTCAGTGCAGCCATTGTGAAGGGGTAGGAAGCACGACCCATCTTCATTCATCCAACCCTTCCTCCATCTCTGGGACGCCCTTATTCAGTCCTTGATGAGGTTGTCCGGTGTGCGAATCCTGCCCCCTAGACCTTGATGTATGCCAGTTAATTTCACTCTCAACCTGATTTCCTGTGCACATGCTGTTAAATAAAGGCCAATAGTACACAAATAAAGCACTATATTAACTTTCGGGGGGAAAAAAACAAACATATATAGGCATACATGAATATTTTAATCTGCAATGTTAAAGTTTTAACATGTGTGATTTGGGAAATTTAAATGTTGAAGCCAAATCTTATATCTAAACATCAAAGAATCAGAATGTGAAATTAATATGTTAACTTGAATTCAGGAGAAGGGCCATCCCTTAACCACATCTCTTGTCACTCAGCAATCTACTCATAACAAGTTCTCCTTTCCTTCAAAATCCATTATGTTTTTTTAACCCCACTCTCAATACCCTTTTCCTCCCTTTTATCCAAACACCCTCATTCCTTTTCCTTATTATCCATCATCTCCTTTTAGTTGCAGGTTCCACCTGCGTGG